TATATATATATATATATATATATAGGAAAATCACTACTCCTTATTGTAGCTATTCAAACTGCACAACAAATAACAGTACATTAAAAAGCTTGAAAAGCACGTTTTAAAGCTTGTATTGCTATCCGGATTTGCAATTAGAATGAAAATTGTGAGGTCAATTGATAAAACAGGCCTATTTATCATGCAGAAAAAACAAAGGTTAATTGTAGAGTAATACTGAAAAGAAATGAGAATCAGCGTTTCCTTTAACCCAGCACCTCTAATCAGAATTCATCCTGTTGGAGAACCTGACATGGCGCTACACAGTTCCATGCGTGCTTGATCTGAAGATGGGCACGAGGCAACACGGGGACGACGCCTCTGAGGAGAAGAAGGCCGTCCAGATCCGTAAATGTCAGCAGAGTACGTCCGCCAGCATCGGAGTGCGCCTCTGCGGCATGCAGGTTAGCCTAGCTCTTGAATGTAATTCCATAATATTAGAAACCCTTAAAGGCAATGTTTTATTCACGCTCCTCTTCACTTTCCTCCAGGTCTACCATTCAGACACAGGGCAGCTCATGTTCATGAACAAGTACCACGGCCGTAAGCTGACCCTGTCTGGCTTCAAAGAGGCCATCTTTCAGTTCTTCCACGACGGGAGACGCCTAAGACGCGAGCTCCTGTCGCCGGTGCTGCGGAGACTGCGAGACATGCAGGCGGCCCTGGAGGCCTGCGAAAGCTACCGCTTTTACTCCAGCTCGCTCTTGATAATATACGACGGAGACCCTCCACGATCCCGCCACTCCGCAGAGGATGGGCTTTCAGAAGAGGAGGAGGAAGAAGATGAGGAAGAAGAAGAAGAAGAGGAGGAGGAAGAAGAAGAAGAGGGTGGTGCTTTTGGATTCCCTCACGGCGCAGGAGCGGGCAGCAGCAGTAGCAAAAGCAGTGCTTGTGGCGGCAGCGGCAGCTCTGCTGTGGTGCGACGCATGACCAGATCAGACAGCGGCCCGGTGGTGGACGTACGCATGATTGACTTTGCCCACACCACGTGTCGGCACTACGGCGAGGACAGTGTAGTCCACGAGGGCCAGGATAGCGGTTACATCTTCGGATTGGAGAACCTCATCACCATTATTTCGCAACTAGAGGACAACAGCACAGATTAAACCACAACCAGCATGGCGTTCGAATGGGAAAATGTATCTTTCTCTTTCTTTTCCTCGTTCTTTCAATCCCTCGAGACGTTCAGCTCAGTAAAATCTCAAAGCTCCACCTGTTCAGTTGTTTTTGGTTTCTGATTTTAAGATTAAAAAGGGGTGAGAAGCTAACGTTGAGACGTTACACGATCTGCTTCCTCCATGTTTAGTAGCCTCACTCATTTCCCCCGATGTAATGTTACAATGTTGCTGCCATTCCCCTTTTTGTTCTATTTATTGAGAAGATAAAATGGTTATTTACCGTAAAGGACCTGATTTCGTTTCCATGCTCATTCTTTGAGAAGGTTCCGGAACTTTGATTCGCTTCCGAGTGCTCCCTATTGGATGAAGGAATAGTAGGTGGCGAAAAGGAAGACTGTTAACGCTCTACAGCACCCTCCCCTTGCACCTTTACCCATTGTGAAGAGACAACTATATTCAAATAGTTAGTTGATATACAGAGACTATAATAAAGCTTTATTTATTTGTCATATTTCCTAAATAAACTAAAAAGAAAAAACATTGAAAAAGTGAATGGGGATTCAAGAACTACATTCCATGTTATTAATGTTACAATAATGATATTAATAAATATTATTATTTGACATGTTCAGATACCTCTATCTTATATCTGTTGTACACGGTATGTTGGAGGAAAAATAAAATTTGTTTGTGTTAAATTCTGGTCTTTGATTTGTTTTTTTAGCAAGACTAATCAATTAGTCAATAAAACCCAGTTTAGGTCTTGAGTTGTAGATGCTAAACAAAGAATATTGCAATAAAAAGTATTACGTTGATAAACGTGATAGCCCAAAAATGAAAATTCTGTTTTCATTTACTCCATGTCGTTCCAAACCTGAGACTCTCTTCTGTGGAACATAAAAGACATTTTGGTTACTAACAAAACAATTTGGTTATCAGCATTCTTCAAAATATCTGCATTGGTGTTCAACAGAAGAAGGAAAGCCATACAGGTTTGGAATGACATGAGAGAATAAATGATGACAGAATTTTTCGGGTAATCTATCCCTTTAAGAATTCGCTTTGAATGTTTTCTTTAGCTTTCACAGTCCTCATAAAGAGACAGCGGAAAATCACTCTGCATTATCACAGGTTTTACGGATGCTAATGTCTTGCCCTGTGTGGATATTTTAACGCAAGGTGTCCTGACCAAGTGGCCTAACCTTTTCCTCTTTACTGGCTGTTTGAGAATACAGACTCTTGTCTAGGTTACAAATAGGCTGGTATCATTGTCACACAATGACGCACATGTAAAACATGCATTATCAACAACACTCTTTAAGATACGGGTTAGTTGTCAGTTTGTCAGTCCAGGGAATATTTAGAGTAAAACATTTGAGGGTTTACTATAGAGTCAATAATAAGAATCATTATTAGTAATTGAGCACTGTAAAATCGTAATTATTCCTAACCTTTGACCAGCAATATAATAACATTTAATACTCAAATGGACTTAAATGTCTCATAATAATCTGCTAGATTTGGTCAATTGTGGTCCATGAACAGCTGGTCCAAAACATAAGTGCTTCACAGGAGGCTTCAGATGCCAAATGATGGGCTTTACAGGCTTTGAGGACAGTGTGCATTTAATCATTTGTTCTGTTTGGTTGTTTTATCTGCTTTATCCCGTGTCTCAGTGGACTGCATTGTCTCAGTGATTTGATGTAACATCTTGGATGAGCGCCAGTGTGTCAATAGTCATGCAAATGGTTATTGGTCAGTGCGTGTATGCAAGTGTGTGTGATTTGGTGTTTTTTTTTTGTGACTGAATGTTTGTCAGTATATTTTAACATCACCCTTCCTCCAGCACAGTGGTTGCCATGGCAACAGAGCTGTTTGGTAATACTGAAATCACCATAGCAACAGAACAGTACCATATTTTTAGTTCTTTTCTCTAGCTCTGGGGATCATTGGCCTACATACGTTAATTACGCCTCCTTTAAAATGTTAGGCAAATATCAAATGAATTCATCCCCAACCTGAAACATATGGGGGATATGTTCAGCTTACATAATTACTGGTTTGAAGTATGCCGCTGGCTCATTTGGAGAGTTAACATTTGCATGCTCATTATAGGTACTCGGCTGTGCTCTGGTTTAGTTCGATTCATTCTATTCTACCTTTGTTCTCTGTGTTCTTAAGAATAGAGCATTGTGAGGGCAAAGCATTGCTTGGTTTCTTTTGTCTTTTTCTCTGAACTGAGTCACACCTTTTGAGGTCACATTTATACGCACACACATTTGTAAATATTTAATTTGTCAGTCATCATTTTTTTCAGCTTTCCAAGTGCCAATGTGAGACGCTTTTGATAAAGACAAGTTTCTAGCTTGTAAAGAAAATAAAGAAATAAATAAAAGTGTAAGTTACAATTATATATACTTAAAAAATTTGAGCATTTTCACTAACATTTTATAAAAACATTTATAAAATTAATAATTTTTATAAATAATAAGACATTTCTAAGTAACTAAAAAGTTAAAATTTTATTTGAATAAAAAAATCAAATTCACTTAATTTATTATGCTGAAAATATTATTGTTCTAAATTTAAAATGACACATTTTCACTGTATATTTTATGTTTTTTAAATAAAATGTATCAAATCAGTTTTATAAATAAATAATAAATAAGACATTTATAAATAAATGGAAAGTCTATAAATGAATGAATGAATGAATAAATAAATTCACTCAACTCACTCAAATTTATTATGCTGAAAATATAATTTACAGTGAACAAAACTGTTACATTTAAAATGTAAAACAGAAGCATTTTCACTATATAACATTTTATGAAATAAACTTTATAAATGAGGTATTTATAAATTATTTAAAAGTTTATAAATATATTAATTCACTCAATTCACTCAAATATACTGTGCTGAAAATATAATGGACAAAACTGTGTTAGAATTTAAAATGCAAAATAAAAGCATTTTCTCTAGTGGGTTTTTGGACCTCATATGTTGAGAGAGAATAACTATTGCTTTAGATATTCATTAAAGTTAAGTGATACTTTCATGTATTAGGTCAATTTCATAATTCAGGAAAGGGAATTTCAAGAGTGATCCTGTATTTGTCATCAGTGTGATTCTCAGTGTAGCAGCAGGGTCATTACAGAGGTCACTTCATCGACTTGTTGGAGATCAATATTTAATCCCATTCCAGTTCCACTGAAAGCATGTGTTTGTGGCCATGATTCTTCATATGAAACTTTCAGACAGGTAAGTAAAAGACACTAGCACAGCTTCACGATAACTATAGCCAACATCAGTGTTACAGGTCAACACTGTAGCAACGGACAAAGGGGGGGGGGGATAATTCTAAAAATTGAAAATTGAATTCTATTCTCGCAGAATTCAAGGAGACTAAAGGGCAGCACAGTTCACACCAAGAACGATAACTATAAAGACAACGATATTAGCGTCCACACCAGCGAACGATATTGTCTGTTTATTCTAAGCGCACGCTCGTCTGCCGCTTTAAATTCTCAAGCTCGTTATAGCAGGATCGATTTGGCTCTCAATTTTTATCGTTCATCAGCTGGAAAAAAATCGTTTTGAAAGTGATTCCAACGATATCGTTTCTCTTTGTCTTTATCGTTATAGTTGTGGTGTGGACTCTGCTATTCTTTAATATTGAGAACGATTTTTAGAACTATATCTTTATCGTTATCTTGATAGTTATCGTCCTTGGTGTGAACGGGCCTTTATTAGACATAAACACACCGTGACATGGCCAGCCGTATGGGTCATGAATGCCCCTTTAGTGTCTGACCACAGCCAGAGAGTGTGAGAGAAAACCAGGCCAAGAAAGAATTAGAATCTTACATAAGCACCGCCATGACGTAAACGCCGCTCCCATATAGCACGAGCTGGACTGTGTTGACTACATTCACTGACTGTGCTGTCAACATGTGTTTAATCAGGCCTGCCAATTACACTAACAAGATCAACTAAATCTATCCACCGACGTGTTCCTGATCAGCTACATTGACTTGGCTTATTATTTCATTAACGTGTAGCTTCAAATGCTCAGGTGATTCTGTTTGTGCAAGAAACTCTTTGAAAAATTTTTGTTGCTTTGCAAGGTAAAAAGACTATTATGTGAGAAGTGCATGAATAAAGAAATGATTGATGAATACATTTCACTTCCTATCCCAGTCCTATTTCTCATGTGATGTGTGTATCGTAATGTGAATATTCTGTCAAACCAGCTCAGCCCAGCTGAACCCCTCAGCAGGCAGAAAGAAAGGGCAAGGTTGACTAAGCATTGTTTTTACATAACTGACGCTCTTTGTTATCTACCTAAAATGTTGAAGAAATGGAAGGGGATGCTATGAAGCTGCCTGAAGCAGTTTTCAGACAGAGAGGTCCTAAAAAATACAGTATATAAAATTTTCTATTTTTTATTTTTGTATTAAATTTATTTTTATGTTGGCTACTTACTTATTTACTTTTCATTTATTTATTGTTCCTATTAAATATTATTTTAATTTAATTGTATTTTTTCTATTTTCATTTCTATGATTTCTTGCTAGAACATTATCCATTAATTTTACGGAGATTTCCGTTAACGCTAAAACACAACGAAGTGCAAAATTCAAAATGCAGGTAAAACAAATTTTTGGAAAAAAAAAAAAAAAAATTCAATACAATTCCTAATTCAAAATGCAGGTAAAAAAATTTTTGAAAAAAAAAAAAAAATTCAATACAATTCCTTCATATTAACAGAGTACATTGTGCCCTATTTTTAATTTAATCTTTTTTTTAACAGTGTACAACTAAAATAGAAAAAGAAAAACCCTTGACATTTATAAAGCGGTTTGCAATCAGTCATATATTCATAACCTAAAATGAAAATTCTGTCATTATTTACTCAACTTTGTGTTGTTATTTATTTATTTATCAGTTCAGTTTCATTTCAATTTAATATGTTTTTCAAGTTATAGTATGCCTTCAGAAGACTGAAGAAAAAATAAAAACATTTGGGGTAGAAACAATTTCCTCTTAGAAATTGCTAGTAAATGTCACAATTAATTAGTTATTTGGACCACTTTGTAGGGATTTTATAGTGCTGTTGTATTAAAAAACAGATTTTTTCCCATTTTCTGTTCTGCTTATAAAATAATAGCATATTGGTTTGAAATGATACAAATACAATAAATAATGACAGATTTTTCATTTTTAGCTGAACTCTTCCTTTGCAAATGTCAGTGAAGTAAGGTTATTCAGTGGCCTTGATGTAACAAGGATGATGTAACAATGTCTCAAGCATTTGTAAAGTGTTCTGGTGTAGCCTGCTGTTCAAGGTATTCAGAGGCATGCAGTTAGTCTGCTGTGTATAATACTGCAGAGAAAATATTTTGGGTGCTGGTCCACAGGCATTCTTACAATTTTATTTATGACATTTTAAGGAGGATTTAAAAAAAGGACTAGAGCTAATTGACTTCCCAATTGATTCTAATATTGCACTCTTTGGTTTATGAATCTGTTGAGATGTAAAGTGCTCTGCCTACTGCATTCTTTCCTCTGCTGTCCTGATATAATGTCACATTCTGACTCATCAGACGCCTCTCTAACTCACTAACAGTATTTATAGATGCGTCTAAATATAAGGGGGGAAAAACA